TTGATTACGCTATCAAATCAAACACAGACAATGCATTCTTCATAAAATTTCAATAGTAACAGCCTTGATAATATTTTAAAAAATATTCATTTATTTTTCCCAATCCAATGGACATGTAAAATTCAGTAATTTGATCTGTTGTTTAATACTGAACAATATTTAGATATCTATCGACCAATTTGTTTCTATTCTCAAAACAATAATTTAAGTTTCATTATTTTATCAGTTATGATTTCAGCCGGAATTCATGCGAAGACTTCGAGTAACGTGCACTCAGTTGGATTTCCTTGATCCACCTTGCAATATGATCGTGGACGAATACGGCCAGAAGATTTACATAGTAGTAGTCCAAAATATACCCGAAGAGCAAGCTTGTAAACAGTTTGGTATATGTCCACCCAAAGCCCTCTAATACCACATCCACATCTGCTGATTACCAATCGCTTGCACCCATTTCTTACCAATAAAGAAAGATGGTCTTGTCAGTACATTTACTTCACTTTCACATCTAATGCCGATCAAACGAACAATGCTCAAATTCCCTTCGTTCCTTCGACAGATTATCATCATAATCAGCTTAAAATAATTCGACTGCCCGCTTTGTACTCTAATCTTTTGATTTTTCAACAATCCTCTTCTCACTTTCACCTTATTTCTCATTTCTTTAACACCTAAAAAATTGACATGTGATATCAGAGCTGGTGGCATTATTTTGATATCAGTTCATTTTGGTGTTTATCTATTGCGTGAATGTGTGACAACAGCACTAAATCAGTCACTTGTTCCATACCAACAAATAAAATAAAATAATCAATAAACTGGGGTGTAAGATTAATTTCTCATTGTGATTTCTTTGTTATAAGATATTTTTCAATGGTACAAAATTTGGCAGGCACTAGTAGATTAATCATTCATCATGTACACATATGTATATAAACGTATTGATTTACGTTTGTCTGTATTGTTTTATTGAAAAATCACAGTCAATTCGAGTAGAGGAATCGATGCAAAATCAAGAAATTCACTATCAGAATTTTATGAAACATGAATGAATAGTTTGTACCAACTTAACGTATTTACAACCAATTAATTAAGCTGAACATGCACAGATGTATATGTACATGAAAGTGTATGAATAAATAAAGCTTGAATGATGAACAGTTATATTATCAAGAGATTCATCATTAATAACAGTGAAAAGATGAGATTCATATAAATATTTTAGCAAATATCTTATAAAACTACCGCAGTATGAAAATGGAACATTTAAAGAATAATAATCAGATACAAGCCAAATCCTAGTGTGGCTCAGGCTTGGCAACAGCGATGACATTAGTACACCACTTGGTTTCGAGCAAAACGATTCTCCAGGAACAGGAATCGAACCCACGACATACCAATTACCCATTGGGGCTCTATCTTTAAGCTATCACAGAGACAAGTTAGCGTCCGCCGAGTGGTTATATTCAGACCGCAGTCAGTTCTTCAGCGCACGTAACCACCCGATAGACGCTGAACGGTCTCCGCGATAACTCAGAAGTAGAACTCCAAATAGGTAATTGGTACGTCGCAGCTTCGACTCTGGTTCGCGAAGGAAAGTTTTGATCGAAATCGAGTGGTGCGCCGATTACATTAAAGAGGGGAATAATAAATTATACGGAATAAGATGGATGAAATGAAAGTTTGCGATTATTCTAAAGCAACTTTTGAATTTGGTTCATTGTTGATTTTGGAAGGTTGATTGTTGTTAACCATTAAGACAAGTGAAGAGCCTTTATAAATATTATTATTATTGGTAGGATTGATTTGAGGACGTTCATCGACAGAAACCGATGATGCGGATAAGGAATGTTGTGAAGATGAAGTGAAATCAATCAGTTGAAGGTACTCCTTGAATGAGTATGCGATTGACAATTGCCATAGGTTGAAGAGGCCGAATGTGACGATTGATGCGAATATCACTGTACACTGGATATAATAGGAGGGCGTTTTGTCGGTGTAGAGCGCTAGAAATATGTTAGAATTTGATGAATTGTCCGTATTTTTACGAGTTAATAGGCATTTCGGTGGGGTTTTTCTAGTGATTATGATAATTCTGGATAGCGATATGCGAAAACACGGAAATGCGACTTCTCAGCCAGCTTTTTTCTGAGTTCTTTAGCTTTATTATTATTACTATCACACACAATCGTACCATTCCATTCGAATGCTCTAATGAAAGTTTTTTGTGTATATTAGTCGGTAAATAAAAAACTTGGAAGGCATAAATTGTTGTTTTGTTCTATAGTTTACAATTGCTTAAAAAGAGGAATCATATCTTTATCACTGATCTTATCATATCAATAACGAGAAAATATAAATTCGAATTCAGTAACTTACTGTCGAAAGCCCAGTTCAGCACCATGATAATATAGAGTGGCTTGAAGAAGTAATAGAAGAGGAATATGATACCAAAATACAACGAGACAAATACATGAAAACACTGAAACATGCTCTTGTCAGTGTGATCTCATGATAACGAAACAACTTCAAGTCCGAAACACTGATTTCATGTTCCTTGCGAAACAACTTCAAGTCCGATCCGATATACTTCGGTACTGATCACAGCTGATCAGTACTGATCATAGCGATTAAGAAACAAGACTGATCTTATAGCACCGTAAAACAATTATCATTTCTGCGCTGAATAAACGAAAAAATGCGAATTCAAAAGATTATATACGTCAAGATTACACTTTGCTTTATTTTCAATAAAGAGGTGAACTTCAACCGAAATATGCAAGTAAAAAATTACCGAGATTCCAATGATTGGCCATACAAAGCTGTGTTTTCTGCGAGCAATTGCGAATATGCCCATCAACGTAACCGAACTGGGTATCATCAGAATGAATATCGCTCGTCGGAAATAAACGATTTCGAGCGATAGAACCGTTAGAATCGCTACCACACCGATCAATAGCACCAGTCTGATTCCATTCTGAAGATTTTCTGTTAATATCGTCAAATGTGTTCACTTCAATTTAAAATTACTGCAAGTTGGAGGTTAGCATGATATCATTGTCTATCACATTTTGTGTATATAGCAGATTTAGACAAATCAGCTATCCAGATGCATCAGATTGAATGGATTTTATTAGATACTGGATTGAAGTCCTCATACTTCGTGATATTCCTTCGGATATATCATTCATGAGATTGATAATTTCATTATCATTCTTATGATTTGTTTATTTCAGTTATTATCTCTGCTAGATTATCATAATCATTACTGAAATTATCAATGTCATTAATCTATGGAGATGTTCAAGTTATTGCTCTAAAACGTTTTGAGTCACAAAAATTAAACTGAATAAATCATGAGCTATATTTCAATAAAGAATAGCGAAGGGAATCAGTCTTTCAATGGGTATGTTTAGAGATATGAGTGAAGGTGTTTGAAAAGATGGGTACTACTGAAAGATTTGTTTATTTATCAGAGGGTTGTTAGTGCGATTATTTGAACTTACAGCGATACTCAATCGTCCGCACAAACATCTGAATGCAGTCGGATCATCGAGTATTTTTCTTGTTGAATTGAACGTGATTGTTGAACATGTGTCACGACGCATCCTCACTTCGAATACCGTTACGTTCACTTCAAATAAACAACTTGCTATATCAACTAACATAATATTAACAATCGCGTAATAATAATGTCACATTAAATCAGGTTTTATCACTGGCCACTGGACAATATTCATTCAACAGAATCGAAATTCATTGAAAGCAATAAAAGGACTTCGAGTGATTCTTTTAATGTCACAAACAAATGTCGATGTTACACTTTGTTTGGTTATAAATATGTGCCACTTTTTCTTGTTACAAATATGTGATCACATAAATCAATTCACAAACTGCTGTTGAGTGACAACGACGATAGTCATGAATTAACGAATTTGGGTCATTCGAACCTCATTTTTCCGTGACCATCAAGTTCTTCAAAATGTGACACTTGATTAATATCGATCGTGATCAATGTTGATAACAAATCTCACCAAAAACTCATAAGATGTGCTAAAACCAAAATATTTTCTCCGTACGTTCACAGACTCGTTCAGACTTAACGAGTGAGTTTGATTGATTTGATATAAAGCGCAAGATTGGTGATGAAAAAATTAAGATTTAATCAACATTAATAGTAGAGAGACATTTTCAGCATACTTTTTTGTTTGATCAGCTTATTTTTTTGGATCACCAGTAATGTGTGGGGATTTGGGTCAACACCGAACAGAACGGATAATATGCAGTCACTTTATCTGATGAGAGCAGATTTTTATATTCACAAAAATTGAAGAGATTAGGATTTTGGTTAGGGTTATCCATTCGAACAATGACTTTAGTGCTCAAGATGAGTTGAGGCTGCCGCAGAGGTATGGACTCGTGTTGGGAACCGACTGATTTTTGTCGGTGGCCACCGACTGATAGCCCTGTCGGTGACCACCGATAGGCACATTTTGAGCATCGTCGATTGCTGATCGCTTTTAGCCGATCGACGATTAGCCACGCCACCGACCGAACGAGCCCTATCGGTTGCGGTATCGAAAAACGGTGGTTACCAACCGATATTCGCTAGCTAACCACCCAACACTAGTATAGACTGAGAACAAATGACTTGCAGAAGATTTATTATGGGATCAAATAGAACAGTAAGATGAGGTGAATGAAGTGAAAACCGTTCGTTTACATTAGTAATTAAATGACGAAACAAGTTGTGTTTAAATGCAACAAAATTACGATAGAAACAAGTGAAGGTGAAAGAACATTTCATTTGCATGAGGAATTGAATGTGTTTGGATGGAACGAGCGGGTATTCACGATGGTAACAGAACAGCAATAAAAGTGAAATCGCAAATGGATAATGGAACTCGTATTTACAATTAGCAGTTGA